AACAGCATCTGGCACATAGTAGCCACTTAGTAAATGTTAGCTGTTATTGTTATATTTGGTAGGCACCCTCTTTTGAGGTGATGATTTTTAGAGAAGGTTTAGTCTTCCTGTAAGCTTTGGGTTTCTCTTCTTCCTCACTGAGGTAATTCTTGCAGTTTTGGTCATCTCGGTCTCTTGCAATAATAACATTTTGTACACCTGGAGGGATTTATATGCCAGAGAAACCAAATCTGCTAATAGAAGTAACTAACCTTCAAGGATGTATTACCTCCTTCTTCACCAGGCAGCTTAAGTCACATTGCCCAGGCACTGAATTGCTAGAGTTTATTTCTTCTAGCAAAGCAAGGCCCTCCCATCCTTGGAGATTACAAACAGAAATGGATTTTGAGCTGGCTAAGGAGATACAGTGATACCTGGCATAGATTTGGATGAAAAACAAGCTAAAGGGGCAGTATTAATACTAGTGAGGGCACTTTTCACCAGTAATTACGGTATCCTAACTGGTGCAATGTGATACACACCCAAGAATACTGTTGGCCTGGCGTGGATTCAGGACCCCATTCTTCACTTAATAGCCACCTGGTCTTGGGCGTACTCTCAACTCACTGAGCCTCAGTTTCCTCATCTGCAAAATGAGAGAACAGCTCTGAAACTTCTGTGAGAATAATACTTGGATACCGTGATGTGGCTGTGAAGGTGAGCTTTGGCTCTGGTGCCTAGCACTTCAATGTCAGCAGGAAGTCGGTGAATGCATATATCTTCTGACATATTAAAAAAATCAATGTGCTTGATTTTTATGGGTCCTGCTGTCTCTGTATTGCCAGAAAACACAGAGCACCTTAGTACACGTGTGGGAAATGAGGAGCGGTGGGGTGGAGGCCCATGTGGAAGGCAGCTGGTGGGTAGCTATGATGAGAGCATGTAGGGAGCGACACTGGCGTTATCCTTATTTAATGATTTAAACTGTGGCTCTAATCCTAAATTATTTTATAAGAAGGGACAGTTAGAAAAGAATAGCCCAGGAGCACTGGGTTCCTGGCCGAGGTGATTCTGGGTCACCTGGAATAGCACCTGCTTTTATAAATTATTTTATAAGAAGGGACAGTTAGAAAAGAATAGCCCAGGAGCACTGGGTTCCTGGCCAAGGTGATTCTGGGTCACCTGGAATAGCACCTGCTTTTAGGAAGACAGATGCAAATTACAGGAATGGTGAGGCAGGAGGGGCCAGGCTGGGAGACGCCTACCCTGTTCAGGAGGAAGAGACCAGAACAGTTTCTAATTGTTGGAGACAAGTGCCTGAGCTGAAGAGGTTAAGGCAGTTTGAGTGCTCTGAGTTCATTCCAGAAGGGTGGAGACGTTTGATGCCCCAGATGAGGCACAACTGGGCTCCTGGACAGGGCTCGTAGGCGTTCAAAGCACTAAAGCCTAGTGATTCTGCACTGGAGTCCCTGATGGGACAAGAGGGACAGGCAGCTCCTGTGACCCTAAACAGCTGCATCTTCCCGCAGCGAAGAAGACCCTGCTCACTGCAGGATGGGTGCTCTCAGCTCCGCCCTTACCCTGAGGAAGTTTGCCGGCTCTTTCCTTGTTCTTTTCCTTTGATCCAGGGAAACCAGGATTTCTTGATGGAAAGAACAGGTTGCTCCTGGCCAGGAAGGGCCTGCAGCTGCGTGTCTTTGCTCCAGAGAGAATCCACCCTCCCGGGAGGAAGGAGGCTTTTGGCTGTAGGGACCTCCCAGCTGCAGTGGTCGAGATCCCACTCTGAGCTCTCAATGTGGTGTAGTCCTTTCGGAGGGGCAGGGTGTGGGGATAGGGGGATAGGACTCTGAGTCTCCCCATGGGAGACCCTCACTTTTCTGTGAGTGAGTGTTATGAATTACACGACATGGGTCAGTGTAGACGAGAGGTTTCTTAGGGTTCTTCCCATTCTAGAAGTCTGTATCGTTCTGTGTGCTCCTTTTATATAACCTTCAGGGCCAGCAGGGGCTGAGCGCCCTGGGATTGGAGAAGGAGCACAGGCTTAAAGCACTGCACAGTCCAGGTTCTAGTTGAGAACTGGCCCTTCCCCAGAGCAGGAAATGGAGGCC